CGTGACCTTCCGTCCCAAGAGATAACGCTCTCACAACGTCCCAACGGTACGCGCGAAAGTTCGATCACTCGGAAGGTTGGCGGTGAAGAGATCCGTCGTAATGCAGACAGCCGCTAGTGCTACCCGCCTAGTTTCAACCTCATTCGGTCGCATATAAACCCGGACTAAGTTCTTTGCCCTGCACTCACCACGTCTACTCTTCATGTATTCGCCCGGACACCCTTTAGCGCCATACGTCTCTTTCGGCACCACATCTCATCAGGTTGCAATTATAGACATGGATCGCCTTAGTCAGTCTCTTAGTGAAAAATTCCACCCACATGAGCCCTCTACGTTTCCGCTGTTGTCTTGAATCCATCTCGACCACTATTCTTTCGTCCTCATCTGGTGGGCGCCCGGCCTCACATGTCTTACGCTCCGCATCCAACCCAGAGCCTGTGACTGAGAAGCGTCCTTGTGTCGAGAAAGCACGTCTGCTCAGCACTCGGAAGCTTGATTGTAAATTGTTCATTGGTTCGGACACAAAAGAGTACCCGGGACGCCTGTTAGACATGTCATCATGGATGTCTTGGAGTTGGACATCAGGCCACCAACCTAACAGCAGATCTTCAAGCTGCTGTTGGACTCTAGTGATCACACCATGGAGAGCAAGTCGAAACTGCGGTATCGTAATGTCTGCTTGGCCGATGCTCAAGGTCTGGCCATCCGGTGACCACGAGATGTTCGTCCGTGGTCCTTCGCGCTTCGCGATCGCTCTACCGTGCTGGAGTCTTTCGATGAGATACCCCAGCGGCGATAGGCTTCCGCGTTGTAAATATTTTGGACGAATCTGGGTACAAAGCCGTCCACTAATATCAGGATATGCTTCACGGCTCGGCCATGGGACAGGGAGACTACTGTAACCCCGAAGTGGCATTGCGTATTCCAGTAGTACCAACCGCCCTACCCAGATCAGGGCTGATAGGTAAGGTGTGTAGTCGTACCCCGTTCGAAATGCATGCTCCGAAGGACGGATACCTAGCACCCCAGAAAAGCGTGCAATCGCAGTAGCATCGAGGTCTCCATCACTAGGGCAGTCTGTCCAAAACGTAACGAAGAGCTGAAAGAGCATTTCCAGACAGTCAGCTGGAAGCTCTGATATCATGGAACACTCTGCTGTGTTTGTGGAAACGTAGTTTTGAGCCTCGGTGAGCCTCAGCCCGCAGAAGTGGATAGTTGATTCACGTAGCTGCTGCGCTAGAAGACGGATTCGCATGAAATAGCAGATGCCGGAGATCCAGATACGACTATACTTCCGCACTGTAGGAGCACGTTGGAGCTCCTGTAAACAATCTGTACAGGTCCATGTGTCAGTCCTACTTTTTCACCAGCACGCCCAACACAAAGCGTCTTTCCTCCTTAGACACCTCCGACATAACACTTCAATTCGACGAGTGCGCCATCCAACTCGGCGTCTATGATGTCCGTCCACGGTCGCACAAGCTAAATGACGGTTCATTTTGAGTTGGGAGCGTAAGTCTTCTACAAAATCCTGCTCAGATTGTGGGGATGCGTGGCCCTGTAAGCAGTCATTCATCGTCGAAGTCTAATGGTTTCTTGAAGTTCTCCATCGAGCCGTTGTCCCGCTTACGAGTGTCCTGTTCCGTTGCATTGTTGACCTCCGTTCCAGCAGGCGTTCGTCGAGAGGAATTAGCGCTTCAGGGCCCTTCGACGCGCTTCAAGCCCATGACTCCGATGCGTACGCTGCGGCACGATTTTACATGGCAGGAGCAGTACTCTTCTGACATGCAAGACCTTAGCATCGCATCACCAAAGACATGCACGGAGCAGAGCGGCGTACAACGACGACTTTCGCGCGCACACGTACATTCTTCGTCACACTTTGAGCAATCGCAGCCGAGTGCACGCAGTCTCGTCAAGAAGTCTGTAAAAACATCCAGATCCTCTGGAGTCGAGAAGTATGGCGCAGAATTCCTTCGAATTATACACTCCAGGCTCGAGATAATTTGTGCGAACTGATGGGAAATAGGCTCATTCGTGATGCGTTGGTTCTTCCCAATTCTGTGAAACGTCTGCAGAGTGTGAATGAGGTCCTGATTATCCAAGAAGAGTCCACCTATCATTAGGCTAGGCCCAGAATCGCCGAGAGTGTATACAGCATGGACAAGACCAGGTCTCATCACAAACACATCTCCTGGCTGTAGCACAATAGCTCGGGCTTTGTTGCCGGGGTTCCAGTCATCACCGTCCTCTGCAAGTTCTTCCCAATCGGCTGGGGTCATTAGATCCTCGGGCACAAACATCCAAAGCTTTTGTCCAAAGAGATTGCGGACCCATGTCGCTCCACTGCTGTCGACGTGAGCACCAGAGAAAGCACCTGGCCATCCAAGAATGTTGAATCTTCGGCTGCCTCCCACGTCAAAGGGCAACAGATGAAGTTGTTTCCCCAAATGTTTTGTAGCATCTGCTTTACAGCGTTCGATTAAGAGATCTAGCAATCGGAATCGATCTTGTCGAAGGAACGCCGGCGCGATGGCTTCAGTAAGGTCTGGTAGATTTAGCATGTTTGGTGGATTTCTCAACAAAGTGGCTGGAGACGCCCGGCACAGACGGCTCATTTTAGAGACCCTTTCTCTAACGCACGTCAACCTCCAGGTCGGCAAAAGCCGTATCCAGCTGATCCGCATACCTCGCCGCAGATCATTCATCGGCATCATCGAAGCCTTCACGAAGGATGATAGGCCGCATTAGAGGACGTCCCTTCGTCGCCTCAGAGAAGAAGCTGTTTGCCGATACTATACACACTTCTCCAGGACCCTGGGGCAATCCTACGCTGCAACTTGCGTATCTGATAGGCTTTACCCAGTTGCGCACTGTGGCATGAGGAGCTCTCGCCTCTAGCTCCAAGGCCCGGTGGGCGGCCGAGTATAGGTTACGGCGCTCGAATTCATTGAAACCTGATGGTACCTCGCATGCTGAACAGCTTCCACCACATGATGTGCAATGGTTGTAAGAGTCTAGAGGTTGGTCGTGTTGCTTTTCACGAGGACCAGTAGCATGTTCCAAGTGTTCGGAGGCGCTCCCATTAGCGACAAATTCGAATTCAGCCGTAGGAGAATTTGTAGAGCTCTGATACCTGGCCTCTCGTTCCGTCGCGCTGTCTCTCACGACATGCGAATCCACCTTCTCTTGCTGGGCGCGATCGACCTGCGGAGGCCTCTTAACTGTGCCTGTAGTCGTTGAATGGTCTTGCCGACCATCGGGTGGCACGTCTGCGATTACGCTGCCACTTACAGCCTCAAGGGGCAAATCGGGGGCGTCCACTATCGACTGTCGCCGGTCCATTCGTATCCGAGCTCTTTTCTCACGAGAAGTCTTATGGTCCAACTGCAAGGGCTCGACGGTTTTCCGCTTGCCTGCCTGTGACGCCGTGGCTGCCACGACTATCTCGCTCCTTCGACCTTCCTGTCTAGTCATTTGTATGTCGCTGTTGTTGTTTGCAACGCTCTGTGGCTTCCTTTTACCAGTTCTTCTTGCTGATACCTCTTGAAGAATAATTTGCAGTTGCTCGACATCATCTGTCGTCTGGAGCTTCGCTTTTCTCCTCTGACTACGCAGCTGCGGGTTCATTTTCTCGTTTGTAATTGAAATGAGGTGCCTTACCTTTCGATTGCGTTGAGCTTCCAAAAGCAGAGAGACTTGATATTCCCTTCGAGCTAATTAACTCCAGGGTTTCCTCATCTGAGCCTGTAGGCTGTGTCTTTTGTGACGTCTTCGTGGCAGACATTGGCCGTTCTTCCTCAACATGCGCTATGAGCGATTGCACGTCACAGAGCATAAGATGGGTGGTCGTTGCAGCTTTCCAGCCCAACATTCTCCGCGATCCAACCGCTGTCCGATCTTGGATAGCGTGCTCGAGAAACTCCAATGCCTGGCTCAGAGTCACAGAGCTGCTCACATTGGCGATGAGTCTAAGCATGGTTTTTGAGAGACTTGCAGCTCCGCGCTCGGCAGGCGGGAAGATATTCCTCTGACGTGCTTGATTATACCACTTCTCGCCCCAATTTCGCTGGATGATGTTGATCTTCCCCGGCGCGCAACGTCCGTGGACGTTCCAAACTGAATACACAGTCGTACGGTCTGGTTTCCGTCGAGACTGTTCAAAAACACATCTTCTGTCCACCAATATGGATTTGTACAGCTCTTCCATACTTCATGCTCTTTTGCGTAGCGCCACACCAATGCCATCTGTAGTGCGTGCTCTTCTGCATGGTCTGACATGTGATTCAGAACCTGCTTGACAGCGTCCGCTTGATTCGTGTCTTGCTTCTGTAGCAGACTTAGCAAAGACACCTCCGTGTCAGGCAGTTGAGTATTTCCCGGGGCGCGCTCCACTTCGTCCATCGACAGACAGTCTAACCGGGCGCCTACTTCACCGCTAGCCGCCCTCTGGGCCACTTTGCGAGAGCTTTTGCGGATAATTCGCTGGTCTGCTGTAGTGACCTGATTTGTGCCGTTGTCACTCGCCGAGATAGGTATCGGAAACCCGGAAGAGTCTCTGAAGGCAGACACGGCCGCATGGGGAATAAGACGAGTAGTCATCTTGTAGACAAGCTGGTTTGGAGGCAATTGATACTAATGAAGCCAGATACAAATGCGAAGACTGGGCAGATGCGACGTACTTCAGGGGACAGTGTCCGGCGCTGACTCATGCGGCACCCGGGGCGTCCGACGCCGAAACAACAGCCAAATGCTTTTTTTAGATTGCCCCTTGTTTCGACTCTTGAGACCGCCGTGAGCCTCCACTATAGTTTCCGCTAGCTCCACCCTATTCAGCCCGGCTTATCATCTACTACCGCTTAGACTACGAAGTGGGCCCGTAGATAACACTTTCTATACCGAGGACTTTAGAAGGTATAACACATCTCAGCTACGCTACGTCGCATGGAGTATATCGGCCTTAACCAATACTTGGCGCGAAGAAACTTCCCCGATTGTCTAAGCCCGCTTTGTGAATGCTGCTAGCAACAGCTAAACGTTAAACACATCGTCATGTTCTGTTCCCAATACAGGCGAGGTCGTGACAAGATGATCTATAATACGCGGATGAGCGATCTAAGGACAACTTTAGGCACTGAGGAGGGTATCAAAGCAGTGACGACGTACAGGTCACTTTTGCGCACTTTTCTGTCGCAGGGGAGACTCTGGGAGAAAAGTCTCGAGTACCACTTCGACAACGGAGTAGAAGAACTAGGAACGACGTCGAAGTCGGGTAAGCATCGTCGTAAGCTGTGACATGAACAGCTCATGATATTATATCGTTACTGAGCGAAGGGGTTTAGGCTACTGACAAGGAAGAAGTTTACAAATGGGCGATTGCCGCGGGTTGCGTCCTTGTAAGCAGGTATAGATATAAGCAGCCCGCATGGACCCACAAGGGAGCTAAATCGAGGTATAATTAGATAATGATAATAATAATAATAATCAGCCAACACCCGTAACACTGCTGCATGCATAAGGTATGTTGCAGAGTAATGCTAGCTTTATTGTACATGTCATGTGCGCTAGTTATCTAACAAACAGACGTTGTATCTATAACCAAGAATATTCCTCTTCCGAGCTGTAGTAAGACAAGGATAACGAGCCCTTCAAGAAGCATGGCGCTGTTGATGAAGGTTGTATAAATGAGAGAGCTGTCACATGCCTTTATTAGTTATTGACATAATTATGTTTGCATCGTCCAGCGCTGGAACAGAACAGAACAGGCTGTTCCTAGACTCGCCTCAAATTTGAGTCGCGTTGGTCCTTATCTTTCTAACATAGGCTGCAGTGTTTGTGAAATAACCGTCTTTCGGTGGCTCATGAAGACACATCTGCATAAGAACATCTAGAGTAGGTCGAGGCCTGTTCGAGTCTCGTTGCGACAGCGTTTTTGTATCGAGCGACCTTAACCAATCCTTTCCTTAGAAGATACACTAATACAATCGCAATCATGTGCGGTATCTTCGCGTGCCATTGGTGCGTGTCTTTCTTGCAGTACACAGAATCTTTTTGCTAAACCATTTCGGACAGCCATCCTGATGTACAAAACTTCCGGCCCACAGCGATTCGTATGGGCAAGCAGATAAAGCATCGCGGTCCCGACTGGAGTGGAAACCACATAGCCAACAACACCATCCTCGTTCACGAACGCCTCGCTATTGTCGGTGTCGACACCGGCTCGCAACCATTGCTTAGTCAAGACGAAGGCATTGCCTTAGCTGTTAATGGGGAAATCTACAACCACAAGATTTTACGCAAACAGTTGAAGACCTCATATATTTTTAGAACGCATTCAGACTGTGAAGTCATTATACCTCTCTACCAACAAAATGGCATCGATACTCCTAAGTTCCTAGATGGCATGTTCAGCTGGATTTTGCACGACGAAAAGCAAGATCGTTTGATTGCTGCAAGAGATCCAGTCGGCATCACCAGCTTTTATGTTGGACGGTCGTCGACATACCCAGGTATGTCGAGTAACTCATTGAAGTTGAGATTCCGACGCAGCTCCTGACATTGACAAGGCGCGCTGTTCTTTGCTTCTGAGCTGAAAAGCCTGCACCCTGTATGCGATGGAATTGACCCTTTCCCGCCGGGCCATGTCTACGACAGCAAGACCGGTGCTTTCGAAAGATACTTCACTCCTAGATGGCTGGTCGAGCCAAAGTACATCCCGACAAGCCGTCTTGATCTAGGTGTGCTCCGCGAAATGTTCGAACGGTCCGTGAGAAAGAGATTAATGGCTGAGGTGCCTTACGGCGTGCTACTCTCAGGAGGTCTAGACAGCTCTTTGGTCGCCGCAATCGCGCAGCGAGAAACGCTTCGCCTGCAGAACGAGCGTGCTCGGCAAAAGGCATCGCTTTCAGGCACCAGCACTCCGACAATCAACGGCATAGCCAATGGTACCGCACTTCCGTCTCGGACGAGCGAGCAGACCCTTGCCGGTGTCGACGAAAACTACCACCTCGACTCAGCTATAATTCTTTCGCAGCTCCACAGCTTCTCGATTGGTTTGCCGGACGCTCCAGATACCAAAGCGGCTCAAGAAGTGGCCAAATACCTGGACACTCGGCATCACGCCTTTACATTTACTATTCAGGAAGGTCTTGACGCTCTATACGATGTCATATTTCACTTGGAGACTTTTGACGTCACGACAATTCGCGCAAGTACGCCAATGTTTCTGCTATCGCGCAAGATTAAGGCGATTGGTGTGAAGATGGTGCTTTCTGGCGAAGGCTCGGACGAGATTTTCGGTGGCTATCTCTACTTCCACAACGCACCTGACAAAAACGCATTCCACAAAGAGACTATACGGCGGATCCAAAACCTTCACTTGGCTGACTGCTTACGAGCAAACAAGAGCACTTCAGCCTGGGGTGTTGAGGCTCGCATGCCATTTCTCGATAAGCAATTCCTGGACGTTGCCATGAATATTGACCCACAAGAGAAGATGATCACTCCAGACCGCATCGAAAAGTACATACTGCGCAAAGCTTTCGATACAGAGGGCGAGCCAGGCGCGAAACCATATCTTCCCCAGCATATCCTATGGCGGCAAAAGGAGCAATTTAGTGACGGTGTAGGTTATAGTTGGATCGAAAGTCTTAAACACGAGGCGGAAAAAACAGTCACCGATGAGCAAATGGTTCCGGCCAACATTAGGGAAGAGAAGCCCCATTGGGGTGACGATATACCCGATTCGAAGGAAGCATACTGGTATAGGTGTATGTTTGATGAGCACTTCCCATCGTACTGCGCCAGTACTGTGCAGAGATGGGTGCCTACATGGAGCATGCAGACGGATCCTTCGGGACGGGCCATTGGGGCTCACGCACAGGCATACAAGGTTAGCAACGGCCTGTGCGTTCATTGACGATAGAAAGGCCTGCAGGATTCCAACACAGGGTGTACTGTGTTCATGATCCACAACATTATCGGTCTTGTCAAAGTCACGTCATTTATGTACCTTCGCTACGTTGGGGATTAAAGGCATGAGAATGACATCAAGGCCAAGACTGAGAGACGGTTCGATATTACGGGTAAGCAGCTCCGTGAGCCTAGAGTTTTGCCGAAGCATGTGTAGCTACAAAAGAGCCGATACCGCGTGATGCTGGGCGACTTGGATACTGTGATGGTTCTTGTCACTCGTGAAGGAAAGGAATAACGTAGCCATAAGTTGGAAAGCGCGATAATCATAACGGCAAAGTGCGGTTCCGCCGATAGTCGCTCCCTGTCGCCTTTCATTATTTTTCGCGGTAAGACATTGCGCAGAATGTGGGTATCTCGCAGAACACCCGTCTGGCGTGGTGGTTACAGCAAGACGGGCTATAACAGTTCCGTTCTGAAATTGTACTGGACATAGCACGTCTCTAATCCAGCGACACGCGAGTGAGCAACTCGCGCACAAGAGTGCCTATAGACATATACCTTTCCCCAGGTCCAAAGCCAAAGTCTCGCAAATTGTCTTTGCAAGTCACGAATGTGAGCTTCGCAACTGCCTCCGACTGCTTCATATCTTCTTTGCGCTCGCAAGTACATCTCTTCCGCCTTCTTCATTTCGCCTAAATCGCCTTGATCGGAGTAGAGGAGGCCGTGGCCGTTAAAGGTGTCGATCGTTGACGTGTGCTTTGGTCCCCATGCCTCCTCATATCCTCTTAGCGCTCACAGACACAGGCCCTCTACCTCGCTCAAGGCTTCTCGTTCAGCCGTCCAGTGCGCAGTGTCGTAAAGGTCATCGTGTTGCTGAACGGGGTCTGCAATTTTATTGTGCTGCACTCCCAGCATGGGGGAGGAAATATCGTAGCCCAGTGAGGTTACTAGGAAAGCGAGTAGCAGCAGCAATCTCTGCATTTGGCATTATCGCTTGAGTCTGCAGCTAATCTCGGTATTCTATCGCGACGACAGTGTACGCTTCATGCGTGCAGGACCGGGTTGCTGGAGAAGCTGCCGTCTTCGGCACGCGATATTACAAGCGAGTACTGACTGAGCACGCTTAACGAGGTCCTAAACGAGAGTTTGGTAGTCGGAAGATCCACCTCATTTCCACCTCCGGCAGCTCTTCTATCCACGTATAGCAACGATGCTGTTAGGTCATACCATATGTCTCCGGCATAGAGGAAGCCTCACTGGGCAAGGAGTCTTGCTGCTTGGGGTCCACCGCAACCACTTGGTCGTACGAAATCTTCCATATTGTGAGCACACTTCGCTGAACTCATTGTTGCGGCGAATATATGTCTTGATAGGCTACAAGATCGTCCCAAGTTTCGTTGTAGAAATGAAGGTTCTCATGTACAGCCATGTTTGGCTGCTTGAGGTATGCTCCGGCCTGTACGAACGCAAGAGGAAGTTCTCCGGGCTTCTCAAGTAGCAATTTCGCATCTGCAGGCATGCCCAATGTGAGTTCAGCTTTCCTTTGGTGGGAGAAGGGAATCCACTTACTCTCGAATTGTTTGCTTACCCTTGTCTCTGTTATCTCCCTTCTCAAATTATTATAAACACTGTGTAGTCGAAGACTACCTTCCGGCTGATGTAGTCTGGTAAGTCTTCTTGTTCGTAGCAAATTCCCGTGATCAGCCCTTGGTAGAGACGTGGTGAAGTCAAACGCTCGAGGGTCCTTCCGGTTGTCTGCCAATCACGGTCGATGTTATCGAGGATAGCATTCACCGCGTGCTCTCGGGCTCCGATAGCCAGTCGGCGGCAGCTTAATCGAAGCGTCCATACTGTCAGCCGCTTGTCAGGGGCCTCGCGATAGCGCTGTAGTCGAGTATCGTGACGTGCCTCCCGGTAGTCGTACGGCTACTTTGCTAAGCTTCTTTTGACGATCCTTCTAGCCAGAATATTGCGCTAAGGTCGTCCTTCTGCTTGCGCACATACTCAAAACAGCGCTGTGTCTTGCCCATGCCACCTAGGCCGTCAACTACGCAGACCTTCGCTGAGTGTGCTCCGGCGTAGCCTAAGATCTCTAGCTGCTGCATCTCCGTGGTACGCTGAGCAAAGTCGTCTTCTGCAGGGACGCCATGCAAGCTGAATGGGACATCGTATTCAGTGCTTTCAAAGCAAGAAATGACTTCATTGCCTGCTATGCGATCTCTCGTCGGCCCATCCTTGATCACATCGCCGAGCCTGATGCCTATCTTCTCACTCCATACTCCACCGCAGATGCCGACTATGAAGCCGACCTTGATCGGGATCAGTCGCGCACTTGGGTATCGAGGTGTGCTGTTTGTTCTAAAAGTTTGAAATGGCGTTCAGTATATGCTGCTTGAGATCCATGAAGTAGACTAGCAAAGAATAAAGCGCCCTACTGAGGTGCCAAGCAGCGCACGGATCGTGTAGCCCGGGACGTTGGTCCGTGCGTTGCGGCCCCGACTTTTGACCAGAACCGGCGCAAAAGGACGGCTCCAGGCGGCGCCACTTCCACCACGCCATAGGTATTAACTCCAGCTATATTGCTCCCTCTAGTGCTCGCGGAAAGTTGATGATTGGCTTCTACTGCTACGTGCACAAGGCTGCCATAGGCAGCACCATCCTATGCTAGGCAACAAGACTGCCTGTCGAGGGACATATA